TCCCTCCCCCTTCCTCCCTCCCCCCCTCTCCCCTCCCCTCCCCTTCCTTCCCTTCCCTCCTCCCTCCCCTCCCTTCCCTCTCCTCCCTCCCTCTCCTCTTCCCCTCCCCTCCCCTTCTCCTCTTCCCCTCCCCTCCTCACTGATCACTAGGGCCTACTAATTGTCTCCTTGGTGGCTGAGCACATGTGGAACCATCTATGCTACAAAATTCACACAAAAAATACAGTGGTCAGTACACAGATCCATAGCAAATAGGTTGAAGAAGTGCTGGACACTATCTATTTTTGAATTTTGAAGTTTCCTTCAAAAGTTCAAGGAATATTAAAGACTGGATTTTTGGATCGGAAGGAGGAATGAAAAATAAAAAAAATAGAATGTTTTAGGCAAAATGGAATGTATTTTCTTCTGCATCGTATCCTTATTCTTATTCCTCCTCTTCTTGTAAAACATATTTCCTCCTTGTATTTCTTATTTGTATTCTCATTCTTCAAATGGCTGAACTTTTTTTCTTGCTACTGCTTTTATCATTCTTCATCTTTCCTCATCTTCTTCCATTTTGGTTTGATATGTTGACAGCCCCACCATCTCTGTATGTTACGTATTAACTTCCCTCAGATTGACTTAAAGCAAAATGTTTGAATGTCTAAACTTAAAATAATATCTTTTCCTAGTCTCCGAACTGGCTTTGATTATGGCTTCTAACAGTTTCCAAACCCCTTGATTCTAAATATGGATTTACATAATAAATTTTGCTTTGAATTTAGTCTTAGAGCTTTTATTTTCATACTTAGGAGAATAACTTACAGGGGATGTGGGGGTTCTGTTCTTTATATTCACATCTATTTATTGAGTTATATGTTTGGTAGTTGCCATGAATAATGCCAGTATATGGGCATACATCAAGGCTATGTTCATGGCTATTTTTTATATTTGTATACTGACCATATATATTTAATCTTAAAAATATTTCAGTTTGCAAACAAAGCTGCTCTTTTCTTCTTGTGTTTCATTTTCCAAAGGGAGGCCTGTTGTTACAGTTTATTGATGAATAGATTTCTATCTGGTGTCAGTATATAGTGCCAATTGTTAGGTATGAGGTGGAACTCAGACATTCCATAAAATATGATATTTGGAAGGTAAATTCATAGCAAAATGTATATTGTTTACTCCTCATTTGTGTAGATTTTCTTTATACCATGATTAGTTTGATTGTGTTTAGGGGATTAATCTCAATAAAGTTTTAAAAATGTTTATTCTACTATGTTTGACATTACATTGCCCTTTTGGCTTTGTGTTGCTGATCAACATTTGAAATTGGTTGATAAATTTTGTCAATTTTTTTATTCCAGATTTTAGCCTAGATCTTTGGCATCCACAGCCTGTAAGCCCCTTTATGCATGCTTTACAAAATGTGTGGTAGAAGATCCCTTTACTTTATGTGAACTAGATAATTTGCTCTTTACTTGTTTGTGATGCTAGGAATGTAATTCATTCTAACTCTTGTAATTTCTTTTGGTAAGGAGTAAAACTGCCTATTTTTACGAGAAGTTTCATTCCAACTACCATCAACTGGGGAATGATCTTTCAACCTGCCTTTGTCAAACTGAGAGAGCATCAGGAATTTTAGTCCTCTTCTTTTTAGTTAGGCACCTTCTTTGTGTCCCTTATCTTTCTGTTCCATTTTTCTTGTCTTATTTTTTTCAGCATTTTTCTTGATGGGTGCTTGACAGATAATTAGAACTTTGCTTATATATACATTGAATTTTTGTACCTATTTATTAGTGAAAGCATGCAACTTCAGTAATCTTTGATGCCTTATTAACATTTTGCCATTTTATGTACATGGTCTTTTGCATTTTTTGTTACTGTAAGGTTTAACTTATCTAAATTTACCCAGATATCTCATTGGGTTTAAAATAAGATAGATTGTTGAGGCAGACAAGCCCTCAGGTATTTTTGTATTTAATTTTAAAAAAATACAATTGCTAGAAAGTAATTGACCTTTAGTAATTCTTTTTTTGAATAGTGTTCATTTTTATATGGTTCTGTATTCCTTTTTTCTTCTTGTGCGTTATGCCCTGCCTCATCTTCCATCTTCTCATTCTTCCCTCCTCTTCTTGTTTACTACTACTTCTTCTTCTTCTTCTTGTTTACTTCTTCTTTTTAGGGGAGTGGGTATTTTTAATTTTCTCCTCCTTCAGTTTCTCCATCATTCTCCTTTTTTTTCGCATTCCCTGTTCACACCATAGCACTTCAAAGCCTCAGTCTTTTCCTCTTACCCTGCAGCGGCTTGAGCCAAGGGAGCAGTTGAAGATCAGCACCTACGTCTCCCATCCCTGGGTTTTCCAGGACTCGGAGACGACAGCCAAGTTGGTGGTCAACTCAGAAGACGTCTTTTTCCCCAAGCCGTGGTACGAGGTGAGTAAGGTGAGAGTTAAAGGAGGATTGTTGGTTGGTTGAGGGTTAGAGAGAGAGAGAAAGAGAGAGAGAGAGAGAGAGAAAAAAAAAAAAAAAAAATCTGTTGTATTACAGAAAAGAGATTTTTTAAATTCATTTATTTATTTATTCATTTATTCTCGCCCTTCTATTTTTTAAGGGTATATCAGTTTTTTGCTTAGCACATTGAATGGTAATTTTATGACATGTTTGATAAATAAGTAGACTCATTTTTATTTGGTTCTATTACATAAGATTATTCCATGCCATTTTAATTATTGAGTACTATTACATCTTACAGATTTTCTTTATATTTCACATTATGTGCTACTACTTTATTATGTACAAATAGCTTTTAGGGTCTCCTGAATAGTAGGGGAAGCACCTCCTGAAAAAGTGAAAAAAAATATATATATATTGAATGCATCTGAGAAGAAACAAAACTCCATTCCTCACCAACACAAACACAATACTAACACATATATATGTATGTAAATGATATTAAAAGATTACCAATAAAAATAGTAAAGATTAAGAAAACTACAGCCCCTAACACCCTCATTCCAGGGGGCCTTGCAGGAGGGACAAGGCATTCAGGGTCCGGTGTCTCCACGTCACATCACTGTTTACATTAGTATTCCTCTCTATACTCTAAAGGAGAGAGCAACGCAGGTAGGGAATATTCATATGTTTGTGTGTGTGTATGTGTGTAGGTAAGCACATGTAAATGCTTACTTAAGTATGGCATTCAAATTCTGTATTGTTTGTTTAGGTATTCTTGTGATCATTTGTTTTCATTTAGCAGTAATTATTTGTCTTCGGTATAATTAGATGTTGATGTTGATTCTATTAAATATAATCCATGTTTTTTAGTTTTCATATTCGAGTAACATATTGTCCTTCATATTTATTCCTTTGGATTTGCTTTCAAACACCATATTTTTAATTCATCAAAACTTTACTTATATGTAAAACTGTTTTTCTTTGCCATTATTATTGAGTCAAATATCCTTTGATGTCAAAATTGGCTGTTTCTTTTTTTTTATTCCATACATAAATATAATGATAGCAGTAATAGTGATCATGATACTACTAAATTTTTTTCTTCAGTACCATGTTTATTGTTATTACTTTTATTGTTTATAATTATTATTGTAATTACGATTAATTGTGCTGTACCTATTTTAAATGTGCCTGTGTATGTTGATAAAGTGTTTGGCCAAACTTCTTTCATTGCCTATTTCTCGATTACTAAATTAAAACACATACAGAGACATACAAACACACTGCACTACATTACATACCAAACACACAAGTACACAGATTCTCAAAATAGGCCTGTTTGGGATGGACGAATAGCTTGACCAAACTTCATATAGCCCCTGTTCTAGAGTTTTTAAACAGATGCATACACACACATGCACACACCAAAATGTCACATTGTGTAATAAATGAAACCCCCAACACAGATTTTCAAGGGTTGCCTAATCAGTATGGGTAAATTGCTTTGGCTGACTTCATACATCTGTTTTTTTTTTTTTTTTTTTTTTTTTTTTTTTTTTTTTTTAAGTAATTGACATACATGTGCCTCACCCCTCCCCCATAAACAAAGAAAAACAGACAGACAGGCAGACAGAATGTAACTTACTTGTTAACATTACTATTATTGTTATTATTATTATTATTCAAATCATTATTTAATACAATTGCTATTATAGATATTAGTACAGTTATTGTATTATTATTGTTATTGTTATTAGTCACACCACCACAAATACAACTATAACTGCTAGTATTAACATTATTAGCTTCATACCCCCTCCTCTTCCTTCTTCAGGTGATTTGGTCACACCTACGAGACCCGAAAGACGCCTACAAGTTAGACATCCCTGCAATACTCATGAGTGGCATTGCTGAGTGGGCTGCCTGAGGGGATCTGATTGTTCTGAGCTGTTGTGCTTTGGTTGCGCAAAAAGCTATTCAAGAAGTTGTGGAAGGCCGTTGGTAAGTTGGTTCAGGACTCTTAAGGTTTTGGTTTAGAGGTTGAATCCTGTTTTTATTTTTGTTTTCTTCCAGTTCTCTACTCAGTTTTTAATTTCCTCTTTGTGTATTACTAATAATTATTAAAGTTATCACCTTTATTATCATCATCAGCTTAATCATTAATATTATTATGTTCATTATTATTATAATTATTACTTTTATAAATATATAATAGTTGCTCTTCCCCACTTCCAAAATCTATACCAATTTATTACTGTTATGCTCTACTAAAACCTTTTTTCACCAGAAAGTAGAGAAGATATCATACAAGAACCAAAATGGCTGGAACAGAGAGGCTGGAGAATGTCAACCCCCACATCTTTGCCAAGGCCGGGGAGAGGCTAGCAAGCCCAACTGACTGGGATGATAGCGTATACGATCCATTTGATTCCCGTGAGATCTTTGACTTGATCAGGAATATTCGTGACCCGGAGCATCCCTTGACCCTGGAGGAACTCAATGTGGTAAGGGTTTGTTAGTTATTAGGATATTGATATTATTGTTATTATCATTTGCACAGATATTACGGTTGACAGGACTTACCAAGTAGTAGACATTATAAGATTCCCTCTCCTTATGTTCTTTCTTACTGCTATACTTCTATCCATTATTTCCTTCTCATCCCAAAGGTAGAGGAGAATCAATGTGAAGTGAGTGATGCAGAGAACTTCGTCATGGTACACTTCACACCCACAATCCCTCACTGCAGTATGGCTTCTCTTATTGGCCTTAGCATAAGGCTCAAACTGCTTCATGCATTGCCTGCAAGGTATTGATTTCAAAACTCTGGTTTCCTTGTTGTCTTCTTATTTCTGATGATTTTTCTTTTTTTCTTTTCTCTTCATTTTTAGTTCCCTATAACTTAATGGTTTCTGTGTTGTGTTCTTTTATCCAGGGTGCATAAGTAATATACTTATATTTATACCTTTAAGGCAGTGATTAGGTTAATGGCATATATATTACTTCATATTTCTCCATAAGCTTTGTTTTTGTAACAAGAAACTTGCTTCATTTCTAAACTTTTCCCATGTCCTTCATATTGCCCTTAATAGTATTTCTTTCTGTTTCTTTCTTTTTTTCTCCTATCTTTTCTCTCTTTCTTTACAGCTATATCTAATTGCAATATATTTTATGGATGTTATTCTCATAACTCATGTTACATGTTACATACTTCTCTGAGAAAAGTGTTTGGTCTGTAACTCTGATTATAAAATCAGTTTTGGTTTGTAAATAAAGTTTACTTTTACTTCACCTAGATATTTTGTAACAAAGAACTTCTCTTATATCTTCCAATCAAAGATTTAAAGTAGACGTCCGCATTTCACCGGGCACCCACGCATCAGAACACGCCATCAACAAGCAACTCAATGACAAGGAGCGTGTGGCTGCAGCTTTGGAAAACTCCCACCTCCTAGAAGTCATCAACAAATGTTTGAATCCACGTTGACATGTGCACCATTGATTGTTACTCTGAGAGGGAAAATTGAGGAAAGGCGTTAATTTGAGGTGATGACTCGGGAAGCCTGGAATACTCTTTTTTTCTTGTATTTTAATATGCTTTGTGTTACATTGTGTATGAAGTATTTTAATATTAAGAAGAGATTGGAGCGAAGACAGGAGTTTGAGTTGGTTTCTGTAAAAGGAAATTTGCTTTTCTTTGTTTTCTGCTTCCTCTTTCACCATCTTTTCTTCCTTCCCTTCCCTTTTACCATTTTTTTGTTCTCCTGCAATCTTTTTTTAAAGTTTTCACTTTAAAAGGTAATTATGATTTACATGTTGTGGCAATGATTTTCATTGTGTGTGTGTAATCAAGTTTAGTATTTGTTTTAACTGTTTGTATTACATATGTTTTGGTATTTTTGTTCAACTTTGAAGGAAAACAGGAAAGTAAATTATTAACCATTTGTAGTTTTATGATTATTTCAAGCTAGAAAAAGATTCTGTAATTGATCTGAATCAGGGGCAGGTCCAGAGAATTTTCTGGTGGGGTAACAATAAATCTGGGGGGGTTGCCCAAAAGAAACAAAAATTAAGACTGCCTTCTACAATATTTATATTGTACAGTCACACATTGTTTATATTTTCATCTTGCTGTGTGAGTAGGAAGACCCACCTCTGATCTGAATTCATTCCATATGAATTAAGAAGTTAATGTTACATTCACTACCAAGGGTTGACAAAAAATGGAAAATGTCAAAGACATGCTGAAACCAACTATTTTATTTTGTTTTTGGTGTATTTTAGTCAACTGATAATGCACATAGGACCAGCAAATAGCAATACAAGCTCTTCCAATTTTGTGCTCTATTTACATTTTTGTAATCCCTAGAACCCTCTGTATACCTTTATCTTTTCTTTAGGTATTCAGTGAAATGCAAAAAATTCCCAGAACTGCCATCAGTAGAAAGATAGAAAGAAAGAAAGAAAAAAGATTTTTTGAAAGAGAAATGTTTTTGTATCTTATTTCTCAAAGTGAAGTATTAAGTATTCTGCAATAACATGCTGGAGAATTGCATGAACTATACATAACTATGCATACTGTATTAGATATATTATACAGTCTGTACTATGTGAGTATTGTAGATTGAAATCTAGCTTAAGCTATTAAATTTTTATTTCATAGATTTGAGAGATTTTGATATACTTGTCCATCATGACAGTAATGCAATATAAATACATTATGTAAAATTCACCTTTAAAACTATACAAACTATACCAATATAAAGAAAGAAAAAAGAGAGAGAGGGACATATCCTACTATATCTTTACTTAAAAAGAAGCATTTAACCAAATAATGATTTGTAATATAATTTAAGTTAACTTTGTTTCATTTAAAATATAAGTTGGAGTTGCAATAACTCAAAACCAGACAAGTTTTTAACAGTACTCTCTCAACTGAACACATTTTCTATACATTATACACTAAGTATATACTAATAGGTAATGCGGTACATACAATACAATCATAACACTGCTTTCTATGGTACACTGATATACATATATAATAAATACACTTTACTCTTTACACCCATTTTCTATATAGTACAAGTATACTATATGAATACTATTCACACTGTACACTGTAATAAATCACTCATATATTTGTACTTTACTAATGGCTTGTGAATTATGCTATACTTTTGCTATACTACTGCTGTACTTTCTTTACAAAACAAATACCAGAATTACACATACTATGCATAGTTTTGCATGAACTAAAGTGAAAATATTATTAATTCAGTGTAAAAGCTTCATTAAGGAAAAAGTATGTATTACTACACTTCTCCCTGTGAGTGTTGTTGTAGAGGCTGTTATTTATGGCAGATTTGTGAATTTCTTTTTAGACATGTTTTGATGCTGGCTGTATTAGTTGGCAGTTTTCATGTTTGTTATTAGTGAGAAAAGATTTGAGCTCACATATTGAAGAAACTTTTTTAAAAATTGGAATAACGGAAAAACACGCTTACACATACACACATACGTGTATATATTTACATACTTTCGTATCTATAAATACATTACCATTTCTAGAAAAGACAATGAAATTTATCCTCACATGGTTCTTTTGTGTACCATGAAGATATATGCCATAATAGTGTTAATTATCACTTAATAGTGAGATATAGAAAAAAATATGTAGTGTAAGATTTATATATATCCATAGACTATATAAAGACTATTTTTGGAGCATGGAAGGATGCCTTTTTCAATATGCCTGTCAAAAAAAAAATTCATTTTTATATAATTAAAAAATATTTCTAAATTGTGATCTCCCATGTTCCATTAAATTATTTTTCTCAGTATTTTGTATTTCTCTCTCCTGTAACCCCCTAAATGGCATATGACCTATCAATTTAAATTCTCTGGAGGGTGGTCAAACATTAAAACAAAAAACCCTTACAAACCTTCCCTCTAATGCAGGGTTGTCAAACTCACTTACCAAAGGGGGCTACATTTCACCATAGTATACTATATGTAAGCCAGAGTCATGAGTAGATCAAAACTACATCTTATTAAGGCAATATTAAAGCCACAGTGGTAGAAAAAAACAAAGAGTGTAAGTGACAATCATATATGACAAAGGACTGGCTTAATTAATCATGCAAAATGGCTGACTGTAAAACTGAAATAGCAACTGTGCCACAGGCCACATATTTGACACCCCCACTGCTACGTGCAGCAGGAAAAGTCGTGTCATAAACAGCAAATGCAAAATATCCTTATGAGGCGAGAAAGTGATTGTACAGCGAGCATGACAATGGACTTCCAAACTATTAAGTAAAGTTATGCAAGATCAAGACATAACTGAAGAGTGAAAATCTTGTGATTAACCAAAGCAATGGTTTTTACACAGAATTAATTTGTTTAAGGATAAGAAACCGACAATACAGTTCTTGAGTTTTAATAAGAAGCTTATATATTCATAAATCACAGATACAAGACTTTTATACACTACTCCGAATAGGTGTTGATTTACACATACATTATATATAAAAGAAGGTATGACTCAGGAACTCACGCAGTACAACACAACCATAAGATATTTCTAACCAAAGATACAGAAAATGAGAAAAAAATCTTAGGACTACCTTATGATATAGTTCAAATCCTGTACCAATACCACAGCCAATAGATTATATATATATTTGTTAACCTTACCTTTCTTTATCACCAAATATTTGGGCAACATCCAATATATACATGTTATTCATGTTGTAAAAATGAACTTTTTTCCATTTTCTTGACTCTAACATTAACCCTTATTTTATATTATTGTCACAGAAACATTTGATATTCTCTGTAAATATGCCATGAGCAACTGCATAAAAACAAATAACCCAAGAAGGTTACACATCAAATTGATATTTTTCAATAACTAATCTATAATGAACAATTACATGGAAATGTTTTTTATAGGAAAATAGAAGACAGTAATATATATATATATATATATATATATATATATATATATATATATATATATATATATATATATATATATCATGTATTTGTGTGTGTGTGTGTGTACATAGATGAGTGAAATAAAAAAATATATATAATTAAAAATTTGGCATATTTCAAAAAGTATCAAGATAACTATCAGATAATATCACTTTTGACTAAATATGCTACACGAAAGAGGAAAATAAAATCAACAGAAATAATGATAATACTACCCACAACATCACAAAAGTAAAGCAGCAGAAAAACTCGACCCTTTTCGCATCTATGTCTACCATATATATCTTGGCGAAATTATATTCGTATGAGAATTCCCAGTAGTTGTAATGTATGAATACTACAGATTTTGAAATTATTGTTCTTACATATGCCTGTTTATATATAGATTTTAGGAGATAATGAAATACAATACAGAAAATTGAGGGTTAAGGGCCATAATTGTTCATAAACCAATTTGCAAAACACATGTTAAATAACGGTATTGAAACAACTGATTATCTGATAAATGAAAAATCAACCCAACAAGTTATTTTAATAAATTAACAGGCATAAAACATACAAAACATGCACATGATGCAAATAAAAATTAAAATACTTTTGGCCAAAAAAATTAAATTAAAGTCTTCATGCACAATAAGTTCTACTTATTCAATATCTTACAGTCAAAAATATGATTTTGTCACATTCTTGAATTAATTTCAGCCTGGCTGTGCAGCTGGACACAGGAAATAATGATCAGACATTCTTGATTTTGCTAGACATATTTCATTATAAATAGGAGGAGGAGGAGGAGAAAAAGGAGGCGGAGGAGGACAAGGAGACAAAAATGTCATTACCATGCCATGATTTTAGAGTATCCAGCATTAAGTGGATAATTTTATGCCTGTACAGCGCAAAGTACCAATCAATGCAACCTCGAGGAAAAGAGCCCCAAACATACATGTAACAAAAATTTAGAGAAAAAAACATGAGTATACATATACATTGATGCTCTTCCTTAATATTCTTTTGCAGTGTCTGGAGCTAAGAAATGGGAATAAAACAAGGAAAAAGTAGAAAAAAAGGGATCATTATCACAAATTTGAAAAATAAAAAAATAACCTATAAAAAAATATAAAGAAATATATATGCACTTACTTTTCTAATAGGCAAAAGAAATGACTCTTCATGAACCAATTTTCATGTGGTGACTAGTTTGCAAGTCAAAAATCCCTTTAGAATTGCAAGGACAAAGAAAGAGAGGAGTAGGAAGAGGAAAACAAAAATAACAGTATAAAAAAAAAATAATAATATACAAATGAAAAATAATCATTAATCTTACTGCACATATTCACATTTTGCTTAACCCATTGGTCGCGGTATTATGCAATATGGCGCGTAATCCCCTAATTTTCATTATTTTCAACTCGGGTGGCGTATGGGACCGCACTTGAGTGTGCGCGCGCGCAGTGGTGCTGCCTTCCCTCTTTCGCGCAAATATTTTGTTTACTTATATCTGCGAAAAAATATGTATGCAAAAATTTGCAAAAACCCTTGCAAATACATGCAAACATGCAAACATATGTAAATGCGCTCAGAAAGAGTGGCGGGTGTGGTTTTAGCACGCGCAATAGGCGAACAACTCATTTGGCGGTAAACAGCCCATCGCACACGCAGGCCCAGGGGTGGTGGGCCTGGGCCCTGTAAGGCTGCAAGGGGAATGCCGGCTTGGCGGCTGATATTCCCTGGCCCACTCAGCTCCCATGCCGCGCGGCCGCCCGCTGCTCGAAGGGGATCAGCTTTTAATTGCACGGTGCATCATATGATGCCATCCGCAGCCAGTGGGTTAATAGCATGACTGAACATTATTATTAACATTGCATTACATATTCAATGTTAAAGAATGACTGAACCATTCTTGTTCATTCTACTAGACAATGACAGTTTCGAGCAGAGCCATTAAAAAGATCTATGCTGGGCTACAGAGCAATTTGTGAATGCTGGCCTACTGAGAAAACCTAAAGTTCATATATTTAAATGATGTAATACAATGACACTGTTCATCCTAACATAACTTATTACAAGAGTTCCTTTAGTTGCAAGTACAAGAAACGTGTCAATAAGCAATATAAAAACAAAGATGAATCCTGGGCCCGAGAGTACTGCTCTACCTACTCTCCTCTCTCTGTGACCCTGTATTTGAGGCCAGAGATATATGTGAAATATTCATTCGTAAAACATACTTCATAGTAAATTAATGACAGTAGCATTAATCAATACAAATAAAAGTAATAATGTTAGCATGAATAATAACAATAATACAAAAACCAAGAAAAGCAACAACATTTTCTTGTGCCTCTTGAAGCTCATAGTAGATCACATTCAAATCACTCAAAAAAAAAAAAAAAAAGTATTCAGTATTCTTTACAGTGCAGCTAATGCAAGCAAAACCCCAGCTGCAATCTCCCACACAGCCCTTTTCTACACCTTAAGCTTAAACACAGCTCATGGTGACTAATTGTATGCAGCAAGAGTGGGGATGAATAATTCTACAATGCAAGACATGTAATTACTTGTATCTTTAAGATGATACAATAAATTAGATTAATTCTCATTCACGTCTCTTTTTATATGCCTTAAGCCTAATAACCTCTCTTTTTCAAAAGCTTTTGTGTAAGAAGGGTAATAGATCTTTGTCTGTAAAGAGGAAGAGGGGAAGGAAGGAAAGGAAGGAGGGAAGGGAGGGAGAGAGAGGGAGGAGAGGGAGGGAGGGGGAGGGAGGGAGGAGGGAGGAGGGAGGGAGGGAGGGAGGGAGGAGGGAGGAAGGAAGGAAGGAAGGAAGGAAGGAAGGAAGGAAGGAAGGAAGGAAGGAAGGAAGGAAGGAAGGAAGGAAGGAAGGAAGGAAGGAAGGAAGGAAAAGAAAGAAGGAGGAGGGAAGGAAGGATCGAAGGAAGGATCGAAGGAAAGAAGGAAAGGAAGGAAGGAAGGAAGAAGGAAGGAAGGAAGGAAGGAAGGAGAAGGAAAGAAGAAGGAAGGAAAGAAAGGAAGGGAATTAGGGAAGGGGAGAAGCAGGAAGGAAGGAGGGAGGAATGAAGAAAAATGAAGAGAGAAGGAAAGAAGGAACAAAGGGAGGGAGGGAAGGAGAAAAAGGAAGGAAAGGGGGGAAGGTAAGAGGATGACAAGGAGAGAAAGAAGCACAAAAAATGGAAGTAATAGAGACACAAAGAGGAAAGTGAGAATAAGAAAGGCTCAAAAGAAAAAATCAGCACGAAAAAAAACAACTAAAAAGGAGGTGTGAATTTAAGTCTAAATCAATCATTAAAAAAAAAAGGAACACATCCAAAAGTTCACGCAA